ACGCATCGCTCGACCAGCTGATATCGGTTCCACCCTCATCACATCCTCCCCAATTTTTCTCGCAACAATCCCCTCACGATCCATTCCGTTTGACCACCATCCCCTCTCTCTCTCCCACCCCTCGTTCCTCCCTGAACCTTCCTCACCATATATTTCTCCCTGGATTTCTCCAGTCGTCGTTTCCTGCCACCATGCTGCCGTCAGTCGCAGTCGCGCTGGTGCTGCTCGCCGCGTCAATCCCGGCGTCGGACGCGCAAGTGCGGCCCGGGTGCATCCGGAAGTACCAATGCCCGCGTCGCGGCAGCAATCAGTGCGGTCTCTATTACGTCTGCTCCGACTCTGCGAAACCCAAGCCGCCGTACACCCTGCAGCCGTGCGACACATGCTCGTTCAGAGACAAGTAAGTTTGCTCATGAGTCGTTTTTTTCCGCGACAAGGGATGCGTCGATTGGAATGCGCTAGGGTGCTGAGTAAGGGTTACGCTGTTGAGTCGATTAGGTTCGACCTGTGTAGAAAGTGCTGTCTGGTGAGTCGATAAGGTTCGACAAGTGTAGCAAGTGCCGTCTGCCCATTAGGCATTGTCAAACCTTGTCGTTGATTCTTCCTTTCCCTACTAGTCCCTTTCCCTACTAGTCCCTTTCCTATGATGGCTTCTGAGAACCATTCAAAAGCCCGATCGCGCCAATCCAAGCAGCCGACCATCCAACATCCCTTGGGACAGCGGCGCGTCAAAGCCACGAGTTTACTGTTCCCAAGGCCTTCATTTTTCCTTACCCTTCTCCTGTGTCTGTTTCCCTACGCCGGAAGGGGGAGCCGTTCGCCTCGGTGTGTCACCCCCGAGTCTGACGGGTGCCCCATAAATGGCTGTTCCGTCCCTCTCTCGTCTCCCACCATCCCCTCCGTCACCGGGATCAGCCGGCACGCGCACCATGCTGTTTCTCTCGCATTGACAGCTTCAGCTTCGCCTCTCTTAACTCATCCGCTCTTCTTCCTTCTCCCCCCTTCGATCCCCTTCTCTTCCCGCTCCTCCTTCGCTCTCCCTCCGACCCGTCGCTTTGCCGTCTGTCTTTGTCGCAGCGTTAAAGCCTACGCTCAAGTGTGCAACTTCAAGACCGGCCGATGCGTGGTCAATGCTATCGTAAGTCTCCTCTAAACGCACACTAACTACATCCCTTGTACTGCACCTCACCTCACCGCATGATTCCCCACCTCACCGCATGATTCCCCACCTTACTGCATAATTCATCCCTTTTCACACCACCTCTGCTCCGTCTCGTGATCACATGCCCCTCGTCTCGCCTCACCCCACTGACTTCACCTCCAAATGTGTTTTTTAGAAGAAAGCCAGCAGCCATTCGCAGACAGCAGAGGCAGGCTCCGGCCTCATGTTATACCGCCGGTGTATGACTAAACTTTCTGCTTGATCCTTCATGTGTCGAACCTTGGTGTGCTGTGGTTGCAGGATGGCAAGCCTTGCACTGCAAATGCCCAATGCGGCAAGACGGGCGAGTTTACATGCCTGGAGAACAAGGGTAGCAAAACCAAGCCCAAGGCCAAGCGCTGCTGCAGGTGAGGTCCAGGACAGCCCATGGCGCTCCCCTGTCACTTCACATCGAATTTGTTATTTGTTTGTTTCAACACTCCATGCCCATGTACTCACTGCCGTCCAGGATTTGTCGTTGCTGTATATGTGGTTATTTAATATCCATCCTTCATTCCCCCCACAGGACCAAGTGCCCTCCTGGCTTGTGCGGTTACGGCAAGGCTCCCGCAACTTACGTCAATGCTTGTGGAACGAGGATCACCTGCCCGGAGTTTGCCCAAAGAAGTGATTGCCCTAAGGCGTTGAGGAGACGCGTAGGTCAATATCAAACACTATGATAGCTATTGAACTATTTATTACCATTTGCGTTGTAATATTAAAGCTCACTGGGAAATACAGAACGTCAGGTGCTTTTGCAACGTGACGGCAGTTGCACCGTGCCACTATCGTATACAGGCTCCTGGATATTTGCGAAGCGAATCGCCATGGTTCCATGTTTCCTGGGGATTCTTGGGGACAAAATTGTGAGACAAACCGATTTGAGGACACCCCGTGATTTTTACGACATTCAAGAATATGATTTCCATTCCGCCCAATGGCAAAAAGGTTGTTCCGACAGACCATAACTTTCGCACTCCACCTCCTCATTCCTGTATCTCCCACCTCTCCTAGACATACCTTGGCGTCGCCAACGAGAGGCAGATGATAAGTGTGCTGTAGTGATCGTTTCTCGCCTAGAGACTGCAGGCGTTTCGTGGTTCTTAAGTCTCTTTGACTTTGCTTGCGTACCCTATCTGCCTTCGACAATCAATAAAGAGGCCGACCTTCATATATCAGACACTAGTTTCCACAGGCACGTAGCTTGCTTGTTACTTGTATGCTGGTCCGAAGCAACTGCGTAGCTCCCGATACGCCTCCCCACAGCATACGTAGCTTCGGTAGGCAGCATGCAGTTAATCTCCGTAACGCGGCTCGGGTTGAAGCCTGTAGCATTCAGGCCTTCAGATGTCGATTTACCGGGATCAGTGGCAATCGATCGTTGGTGGAATCAGACGATCTCAACCGTCAGATCCCCACCATCTACGCCCCCGTGCGATCGCGCGTATTCGCGCGCATCCAGATCGACCGCCGGAAGCACCTTGAGGAGCTCTTCCGCCGTCAGCTGGTGAGTAGATGCCATCAGTTGGTGAGTGACTGACGTCATTTGGTGAGTAGATGAACATCAGTTGGCGAGTAACTGACGTCAGCTGGTGAGTAGAGGACATCAGTTGGTGAATAACTGACGTCAGCTGGTGAGTAGATGACATCAGTTGGTGAGTAATTGACATCAGCTGGTGAGTAGATGACATCTGTTGGTGAGTAGTTGACGTCAGCTGGTGAGTAGATGCCATCAGTTGGTGAGTGATTGACGTCAGCTGGTGAGTAGATGCCATCAGTTGGTGGGTAATTGACGTCAGCTGGTGAGTAGATGACATCAGTTGGTGAGTATCTGACGTCAGCTGGTGAGTAGGCGACATCAGCTGGTGAGTATTTGACGTCAGCTGGTGAGTAGGCGACATCAGTTGGTGAGTATTTAATGTCAGTGGTGAGTGGCGACCCTCGCACAGCCAGGTATGATGACTGGAGTCCACCCCTTGGTTATGCCGGTGTTAACGTCTCTGCCGTTTCTTCCTCACTTCCCTTCTACACTCCTTTTTGGTCAACTTGTCGTTAGGAGGAGGAGAAGCGGCGTGCTGAGTCAGCAGTGACATGTCCTGTGGATTGCGTGAGGGAGGTGCGGACCATGGCTGATCTGGAAGCGGAGCTGCTTACAGCGGAGCAGAATAAGCAGCTGGTGAGTTTGGGGTGAGGAATGAAGGAATCCACGTATTAGAAAGTTCGAGCCATGTAGCTGCAGCCTGCAGCCTCTTCCCCTTGTTCGCGCTGGGCTGACTTTAACGGGTATATGGCCACGAATTGAAGAACTTGTTTGCCTGATGCAGGTGGTTGTGGATTTTTACAACTCCGCATGCGGCTCTTGTAAATACATTCTTCCCAAATTTATTGACCTCTGCAAATCGGTAAGAGCAAGTCACATGTCCATTTACTGGGATACACTACTTAAGCTCTGCTGCTTGGTCAGTTTGTCAAGATAGAGACCACTGAACGCCCCAGTGTCACACCCCTTCAGCATTGGCCTAGTACGGCTCCTGAGCCCCGGGGCATCCCCCTGGAATGTGGCTGAAGTGCCATTGTTTTGCCAACACTATCTAGACTGCCACCACAGCAGCCTGACTTACTCCTCTGTTTTTTAGATATAGGCTCTGCTGACCGCCACGTCGCATTGTTCCCCATTGCCACAATGTCTCACATGCTTGATCCCCGTCCTCGTTTCAGGGCTGTCAGGGTGACTCCGAGTGTGCTGTTGATTGGATGGCAGATGCAGCGGATAGGGTTACAGCTGATGGGGTTAGAGCCGAGGGTTCTACAGAGAATGTGGTTGGAGATAGTGCGGTCACTGGCAGTGTAGCAGCATCTTCTAGTGAGAACTCGTCCGCAGATGTTGATACGGAAACAATGCGGCATGAATTTTCAGCCGTTCGGTTCCTCAAGCACAACGTCCGAGACGACTATGATGATCTAACGGTATGTGCGTGGATGGTTGAATGCTGTGCCTCATTGTGCATCGGGCTTTCAGGGTGCAGTTGGTTGTTAACATTTTTATGGAGTTTGCTTCTTCTATGCCCGCCCTTCCTCCAGTTTTCCAACTTATTCCATACGACTGTCCCTTTCTCCCTCCCACCCACCCCCTTTCAGGAGATTGCCCTGTTGTATCGAATCAAGCTGGTCCCAGCCTTCGCTTTCTTCAAGGCACGCAGCTGCTCCAGTGTCATGTCATGTGATTTTCAGTGTCATGTGTCATCTTTGACATGTCTGTCATACTCTTTGCATTACCCTATCCATTATTGTGCCCTTGCTCCCATGAATCCCCTCTCCCTTGAGTTTCTCCTCGTCCCCATTCGTCAGCAGAAGCTCTTCATTGTGTTTTATTTTGCCTTGTCCTGTTCTGTTCCGATCTTTCATGTATGTTCGCAGGACGGTTCTTGCATTGGCCAGGTTGCTACAAGAAACACCGGCAGGGTGGCAGCTGCACTAGCAACCCTGCTGGCAGGGCAGAAGCTGTGATGGTAGTGTGCGTGGTGGTTGCCACCAAGTGTGCTGACAGGCTGGAGGCTCCAGCTATAGGATGCGTGGCAGTGACACCTCAGTAGAAGGATACATGCAGCTGTCTATTTATCTATTGAACATGTGTCGTTGTACATATTGGGTGGTTAGGAGTGTACATAAGCTACGATTCGCAGTAGCTTCAAGCACTTCTAACAGTTCAGGCGTGTACATTCGAACGAAGACTGCAGGGTTTTGTGTGCTTTGCGGATGGTGAACCTGGGGGTTTCGGCATTCCCGAGGTTTTCCGCCAGGCCCACCACAAACTCATTCTTTCACTCCATCTCTCCCTGTGCGCTCGGCCTCTCCTACTGTACGTCGCTTGCCTGCCTAGCACAACCCTGCCACCAGCCTGCCTGGAGATTAATCTCGAGTTTCTGTCAGAATTGAACATACGTGTTAGGCCGGCAACAGAACCTACGGTACGCCAATTCCTTGAAATTCGCGCGTGACGGCTTCCAGCCTGCTGTTGCTTGCTGCGAGTTCTGCTGTGGAAATCAGAAACCCTAGATTTACGTTTCGCGAACCCGGAGTCTACTATTGTTGATTAGTCAGCAAGCGGCAAGGAGTCAGGCATGGGGACGGAACGCAAGCGTAAGATCAGCCTCTTCGACGTCCCGCCAGAAACGAGCCGCCAGAAGGTGGACGGACTAACGGACGCGGCTGCAGCGGCGGCGGCTGTAATCGCGGCGGCAGCAGCGACGATTAACCCATATAATGGCCGGCCGTACACGCAGCGGTATTTTGATATTCTCGAAAAGCGGCGGACGCTGCCGGTGTGGCAGCAGAAGCAGGAGTTTGTGGAGCTCCTGAAGAAGCAGCAGATCATCGTGCTCGTGGGAGAGACGGGTAGCGGGAAGACCACACAGGTTAGTGGTCCTGGTGCTGGGTTTGGTGAGGGTATGGCCTCGAACCCTTGATTGTTCCTAGCTGCCGGTGTGGCAGCAGAAGCAGGAGTTTGTGGAGCTTCTGAAGAAGAAGCAGCAGATTATTGTTCTTGTCGGAGAGACGGGTAGCGGGAAGACCACGCAGGTTAGTCATTGGATTTTCGTCGGATGCGGTTTGGTATAGCCCTAGAACCCGTGAGTTTATGGAGCTCCTGACGAAGCAGCAGATCATCGTGCTCGTGGGAGAAACGGGTAGCGGGAAGACCACGCAGGTTAGTGGTCGGTGCTTGGTCTATGTTGTCATAGCATTTGCGGAATTGATGGTCTCATGAAGAAGCAGCAGATCATCGTGCTCGTGGGAGAGACCGGTAGCGGGAAGACCACGCAGGTTAGTTGTCGGTGTCTGGTAAAGATAGACGGGTAACGGGAAGACCCCGCAGGTTAGTGATCGTCTTGCTCGTGGAAGAGACGGGTAGCGGGAAGACCACGCAGGTTTGTGATTGCTATGGACTGCTTGGTATTATCTTAGAACTTGTGGCAACGGTGTGGCTTAAAAAAAAAAAAAAAAAAAAAAAAAAAAACCAGATTTCCCAATCTGTTGTCGAGTGCATGAGCGCGAGGCCCGAGAGGCAGATAGCGTTCGGGCCTTTGCGCTCATGCACTCGCAGGTGTCCTCTTTTTCCCGTCCTTTTTCCCGTCCTTTTTCCCGTCCTTTTTCCCGTCCTTTTCCCCGTCCTTTTTCCCGTCCTTTTTCCCGTCTCTCCAGATTCCCCAGTTCGTCGTCGAGTGCTTATTTCCGCCGCCAAGTAGCAGGCTGCGGTCTCTGCTGTTTAATTTTCGGCTCCTTGATATTATTTCTCCCCTTCACTCGTACTTAACCAGATCCCGCAATTCGTGGTGGAGTGCCTGAACGCGACGCCCATGAAGCAGGTGGCGTGCACGCAGCGGGGTTCAAGCCTTAACATTCTACTTCCCGTGCATCTTACTGTTGCAGATTCCCCAGTTTGTCGTGGAGTGCCTGAACGCGACCCCCAAGAAGCAGGTCGCGTGCACGCAGCCGCGGCGAGTGGCGGCGATGTCGGTGTCGCGGCGAGTGGCGGACGAGATGGATGTGACTATAGGGGAGGAGGTCGGCTACTCGATTCGATTCGAGGACTGCAGCGGACCCAAGACCAGCCTCAAGTGAGTTTAAGGCTCCCCAAATAACGCACCCAAGACGCGGACCCAAGACCAGCCTCAAGCGAGGTTTAAAAAAAAAACTGCGTCGTGTCATAGTAGTATGTCTTGTGCTAACGTTTTTTTCTTCGTGCTGCTCATCCTAACGCTGATGGGTAAGAATTCAGCGTTGAGTCATAGAATGTCGGGCGAGGCAAGGCCATCGGTACGACTTTTGAGTCCTACCTTCTTCCCCTCTTCTGTTTCTCCCTGAGTGTTTCGCGTTAACAACAGGTGTCTCACCGACGGTATGCTTCTGCGTGAGGCCATGGCGGAGCCTCTGCTCGTCCAAGCAGAGGCTCAAGGCAGTAATTCTGGACGAGGCCGTAATCCTGGACGAGGCCGTAATTCTGGACGAGGCTCACTAACGCACCCCTTCCTTCCCCCCCCCCCCCTCCACAACTCTCCAGGTACCTGACCGACGGTATGCTTCTACGTGAGGCCATGGCCGATCCTTTATTGGAACGTTACAAGGCCATCATCCTGGACGAGGCGCACGAGCGCACGCTGGCGACGGACGTGCTGTTTGGGCTGCTCAAGGCGGTGCTGGAGCACCGCAAAGACCTCAAGCTGGTGGTCATGAGCGCCACTCTCGAGGCGGAGAAGTTCCAAGGGTACTTCCATGGGGCGCCGCTCATGAAGGTTCCTGGAAGGCTGCATCCCGTCGAGATCTTCTACACGCAGGTAAGAGGCTTGGGGAGACGGGCCTCAGCCACTCACTGCGCCGTGAGGTCGGACGTGCTGTTTGGGCTGCTCAAGACGGTGCTGGAGCACCGTGAAGACCTCAAGCTGGTGGGCATGAGCGCTGGTGGTCACTGGAAGCGGAGAAGTTTCGGGGGTACTTCCATGGGGCGAAACGCATGAAAGTTTCCGGAAGGCTCCATCCATCCCGTTGGAATATTTTACACGCAGGTGAGGGTGGTTGAGGAGAGGGGCCTCACTCACTCTCGCACTGTCCGTCCTTACAGTGCGTGAGTGAGGACTGACATGCTGTTTGGCTGTTAGGCTGTTTGGCTGTTTGGCTGTTAGGGCGGCTCAATGCAATGCTGGAGCACTGGAAAGACTTGAATCTCGTCATTCGCCCCGTGGTGCAGATCCACATTTACGAGCCACCGAGCAATATTCAAGCCCCCTCCCTTTCCACCTCCCTCTCCCTTCCATTCCATCCCTCCCTTCCGCCTCACTCTCCCTTCCGTCTCACTCTCCCTTCCTTCCCACTCTCCTTCCTTCCCACTCTCCCTTCCTTCCCACTCTCCTTCCTTCCCACTCTTCCACCTCCCTCTTCTTCCCCCCTCCCACAGGAGCCAGAGCGGGACTACCTGGAAGCAGCCATCCACACAGTGGTCTCGATCCACATGTGCGAAGCACCGAGCAATATCCCCCTCTCCCTCCTTCAGTCCCTCTCTCTTACACCCTCATCCCTCTCCCTCTCCCCTCCCCCAAACACAGGAGCCAGAACGAGATTACCTGGAAGCCGCCATCCGCACGGTGGTACAGATCCACATGTGCGAGCCCCCCGGCGACATCCTCGTGTTCCTAACTGGAGAGGAGGAATCGAGGACGCGTGCAAGAAGATTGCCCGCGAGGTGCAGAACCTGGGCGACCAGGTCGGACCCGTGAAGGTCGTGCCGCTCTACTCCACTCTGCCGCCCGCCATGCAGCAGAAAATCTTTGACGCCGCCCCGCCGCCCGTGAAGGAAACGGCCCGCCCGGGCGGAAAAATCGTCATTTCCACCAACATCGCAGAGACTTCCCTCACGATCGACGGTATCGTGTATGTCATCGACCCAGGGTTCTCCAAGCAGAAGGTCTACAACCCTCGGATCCGCGTCGAATCGCTCCTAGTCTCCCCGATTTCGAAAGCCTCGGCGCACCAGAGGGCCGGCCGCGCCGGCCGAACCCAACCCGGGAAGTGCTTTCGGCTATACACGGAACGGTCCTTCCAAAAAGACCTTCAGGAGCAAACCTACCCGGAAATCCTCCGGTCCAACCTTGCAAACGTCGTCCTGACCCTAAAAAAGCTCGGGATCGACGACCTGGTGCACTTTGACTTCATGGACCCACCTGCTCCGGAAACCCTAATGCGGGCGCTGGAGTTGTTGAACTACCTGGGGGCGCTGGACGACGAGGGGAATCTGACGAAGCTAGGGGAGCTCATGAGCGAGTTCCCGCTCGACCCGCAGCTGTCCAAGATGCTGGTGGTGTCGCCCGACTACAACTGCTCCAATGAGATACTCTCCGTCACTGCCATGCTCTCAGGTTGGTTTGCCCGTGCTGTGATGCTGGTTTATGCGTGCTGTCGGTTGTGTCTATGCTGTCAAAGACGCTGGTCGTGTCGCCCGGCTACAACTGCTCCAATGAGATCCTCTCCGTCACTGCCATGCCTCTCAGGTTGGCTGTGTGTTGCTTTCAGTTTGGCTGTGCGGCTGCTCCTCCTGTTTGACTTGAGACCATTCTGCCCCTTCCCTCTCTGCAAGCAAGCAACCACGCTGCTCATTCTCATCCATCTGACTTCCAAATGCGCATTTTCTATTACCTTATCGTGAGGACGCCATATAACTGCAAATGTGCATTTCGATGAACCTATGCAAATGTGCTTTGGTTCTCTTTCTTCCCATGAGCCACGTTGGTTTTAGATTGCGGTTTATTGTTTCACTTTCCTAAATCTGTTGTCTCCTGTTGCTCTTGAAACCTTGAGCTGCAATCTAACCCTCCCACTTGCAGTGTGTTGCTTTTACTCTCTCTGGTTTTCCACTTCTGCTGCAGCAGGAGGATCGCCCCACATGCACTCTCCCTATAATCACCATCACCATCACCTTCCTAAA